ATATATTGTAACAGATTATTAATTTAGTAGATAAGTATAAATATCTCTTGCTAATCAAATAGCTAATATAGACTACCAGTATTTAAATTTATAACCAATTTTCATTATTGTCCATTGGTCCATTTAAAAATATTTCTTCAATAGAGTTAATTTTTTAAATCAATAGACCAGAACTCCATTGATAGCAATGGACAAATCTGCCAACCCTGACTTAGAGGGATCCTTTTAGATTTTAGGTAACGTTCCCACAAAAAATTGTTCATCCCCGGTAATTTTGACCAATCAAAATTTAGAATCAGGTGTCAAAACAAACGTGTTTTATTTTGAGTAAAAAAGTTACGTGTAAAATGAAACCAAGAAAACCGTGTTATAGTTAGGGTTAGGATTAGAACAATATAGGGTTTATGAGTAAACATCACGAGGAACATTTTTTAATTAGGCCGCAGAAGGTGGTTTCCTAATTAAAATTTAGAGTTATTCTTTTGTAAAAAAGTGGTTTCGTTTTGATTTTTACGTTACACCTGATCCTGAAATTCGATTGGTCAAAATTACAGGGGTGAACAATTTTTTGTGGGAGAGCTAGGGCGTCTGCATTTAGGGGAGCCGACTGTTATGTAAAGTCGGAAAACATAACATTGTTAAGAATGCAGTAAAGAGTGAAAGACGTTAAGATCGAAAAAAAGCATTTATTGTTAAGCGTTAAATATTCAAAAGTATTTTACTAATCTTTTAATACTGTATAAAGACCCGGCATAATTTTTTGATCAGTAAAATCTATCATTATACAAAAATCAGTGAGACTGGACATAAGTTTGATTCTATTATATGATCAGCCCACCCCAACACAGCGTGATAATTTATTACTTTATTAGTTGCAATTATATTTTGTTAGTGAATTTTCATATTATAGTGACTTCGGTTAGATGACCTGTCGGAAAATGAATTGATACGTGACCAATTAGTAATTGGTATAAATCGAAAAGTGCCGCGGAACATATATACTCAGTGTATGAAATTCAATTTTGATTTTATGTTCTCACAAGAATGTTTTTAGGGCATTTAAATTTTAATGCTTCCAAATAAAGGATATATAGTTTGTTTTTAAAATTCGATTAGTGTTTTGAAGAACACAGAATATTTAATTTCGCATACTGGACAATGTAAATGTGTAAAATAAGATAGTCTGCACGAGGAAACACTGATATTTGTTATGTTTTATTTAATAAAATATATGACTCTAACATAAGTATGCTCTCATAAATTTGAGCTATTTGCATTTATGACGGATTTAAGACCTAAATTCAGTAAAGCTAGTTTTCAATCAAAATCTAAGAGAAATTAAGATTATTAAATCAAATAGTTGATGTTGATAAAAGACAAGGAAGTCAAAGTTAAAGCCAAAAAGTTTTTTGTATCGATATCATTTCAAATTTTTTTTTTTTGTTTTTTTTTTTTTTGAAATTTACGATTCTAACAATAATTATAATTGAAGACCAGCATTTGAGATGTAATTTGAGCATTTGAAGCACTAACAAATTTTTTTTTTATCAGAACCCAGCTAAACATGCTACTGTAGTTAGTAAAAATAATTATGACAGAGAATAATTCAAAATTGAAATTACCTAGAATATAATATATATAAAGATACAACATAAAAAAACAGTTTTAGTGATATTAGTAAATTGAATGATTAGTGTTCTTTAATTAAATATTTTTACCGTTGTGTTAAAAAAAATCAGAGCCTCTAACAGAATTAAATTTTCAGTACCTACCGGTAAGGTAAAAAAAAAACACTAGTCGAAAGAAGAACTGTTCTTCTTTTGACAAATGTTTTTTTATCGTTACGTGCCAAAAAAAATTCTGTTAAAGCAATGATCGGACCCGGATGGATGCTATCCGGGTTACCCGCGGGGTGAAAATACTTATGTTCGTAAAAGCTAGAGGCAATATGGCTGCATAGCAGCACAAAGACCCTAATACGTACGTACGTAGGACATCCGGAAAATGTATACCAGGTTGGTGCGCCATAGCGCCATAGCGGCTGGATAAGATTCTCCGAAGACCCTGCATTGCAATTTTTGATACGTAGTAATGTTATCGTTTTTACTGTGCATAAAAAAAAAAATTTTCTTGGTAAAAATACAAAACTCAAATTTCTCGTAATAAATTACTATATAGAATGTTCTTGAATAAATTAAAAATGTTACAAAAAAAATTTGAAGATACGATTCTTCATCATTGCTAATAGATAAGCTATTAAAATGTTAGCAAAATTGTTCTCAAATAGAATTAGTTCCAATTGGAACAAGAGTTGGGATTCAGCTTTCATTAATACAACGAAGATTACCCAATGAAAACGTGAAAAAAGAAATGGCAACTAATACAATTTATAAAAACATAATAAAAAAATATACAGTAAGATATTAGAATTAATTCTTTTATATATTATCATTAAAATTAAAGTTATAAACATGAAATTCGTTCACTTTACCGAATACGCTATGTAGTGCATCTAACCGCCGTAGCGCACCATATTTTCCAATGCGATCAGTCGATCAATAATACAGAATATTACGCTAAGAGGCATCGAATAAAGCAACATAACCTCTTATAATAAAGTTAATAATTCAACTTTATTTTGAATAAAATACTTTTGAATGCGTGTATCTTCAAATCAATCACATTGTATCACACGGCCCATCTAGATGCGCACGTTATCCAATATTGTACATTCTTAATGTCCAAAACCTTTTTCGCGTCTAATGTCCTGTCTAACGCTAAACGTCAAAGCATGTACAAATTCATATCAATATAATTAACAATTTTATATTTAAAAAATGTATTATACGTATGATTATAAATTGTCTTTAGTTTTATTATTACTTATAGGATTAGCATAGATTATCTTAATAAAATTTTAAATAATTCCAATTTATTTATTTTTATTTTATTTTTTATATTTATTTATTTATTTATTTTTTGTTTAGATGTCCAAAAAATGAAAAAAAATGTATAAAGTTGTCCTGTGACAACACTGCATCTATCTTATGAAAAAGCCACAGTATGCTTCGGATATAACTTCCAACATTCTAAACGTGTTTTTCCCTTATACACGATTTGACATCTGATAGTCAGGCGACAAAAAATAAGTATGAATGATATATAAATAATTTAGGCGAGCAGTTAAAAGCAAAAATGTGCATGATTTCAAAAATTAATGATTGTTCATATACTATGTAACTCTGTTTCGTTTAAATGAGTATTATACTGTAATAAGTTAATAAATTTAGATAAATTGGACGGAATTTATTTTTTTTTAAAGGTAGATAACTGATAAAAAGCGATAGTTTGTATATCCGGAAATATCACTTCGAATTTATCTATACTTAGCCTCATGAAGCCACCGTATGTTCGGAGATTACTTCCAGTTGGCACATACAGGAATTGTCCAAGAGACACAAGTATGCACCCTGCTCGCAATTGCGCGACACCAAACCTTATTTATTACAATTTTACGTATTATAGAACATCCAAAGAAGGAATAAGATCCAATCTGGAAAATTCTATGTATGTGCAATAAAAACAAAAAAATCATGTTCCGTTAAAAAAGCTTTAGCCACATTGAGTTTAAATCATTTGAATTCTGCTTAGTATGTTTTTAGCAATAAGTTTGGCGTGTAATTGATTGTGATCACAGTCCAGACTGAACCAAAAGAATACGGTATATACTGAATTTAGACTAGTTTCGAGTCAAAACGTACTTTTAACATCCAATTTGAACTTAAGTAACCAGCTAGAATACATAATAATATATTTTTTTATCAATCTAGATTTTTAGATTCCATCACGTGCTGTGGCGTCTTTTAAATTTTAATTAGAATAATAGCCTAGATGTATGTTCTAATATTCCGGAGTATCATAATAAATTCATTATATGCATTACTATTCTGCTTTGTTTTGGCTGCTGGAAATTAGGTATCAGGTATGTAAGATATAAACGTACATGTACGTACGTACGTACGAGAAGATTTCCGTGTAACGAATGCTATTGTTTTAAAAACAAGTAATGATTTGCTTATGTTACTATAGTTACTATAGGATCGAATCCACCTACGTAGCTCCACCTCAGGCAGTTGGCTCAATGTTTTTAAGTTTTTCCGGAAAGGCAATCCAAAATAAGCTGCATGGGATCACGCTGCAACAGTTTGTTTTCCGTTTCGCCAAAGGCTTCAGGAATTAATGTTAGATCTTTGTTGCACAAGTTGTAAGAACAATTGCCTCAGACCGGATAAACTGTTTTAATAAATCAATTATTTATGAATGAAAAATTTTTATTTAAATGACAATTCCTTCTCGACCTTTGAATTTTCTCACCAAGAAATTAATATGTCCTCTACTGAAAGCTCTGATATTCAATTTGCGCTTAATATTAAACATTCCTTTTATGAAGAGGTGTTAAGAATCGTACCTCCTTACCCCTTAACACTAACAGTAGAGGAGTTAGTTTCTCCTTCGTTCACTTCTCGGCGCGCGTCGCAATACTGGAGAAACCCTGAAACGTCGAAACCACCGAGGCCGCCCAATGCGTATATTTTATTTCGAAAAAACTATCACGCAGAAGTTAAACAATCAGGAAAACACGTCACACTTAAAGAAATTTCGAATTTAACCTCTCAAAAATGGGAGATCCAAAACACGTCAGTGAAGTATTATTTCGAAATTCTCGCTGAAGCAGCGAGAGAAAAGCACATTGAACGATACCCAAAATATAAATATTCCCCTAAGAGAAAAAATAAATCAAAGGAAATATCGAAAAATAATATCGAGGCCAATACTGGCCAAACCTTTCCGAATCTCGATTTGCCCCTGAATGGGGCTTATTATATCGAAAATTATAATACGATGAATAACGAAAATGAAATTTTTATCAAAAATTATAATACGACGAATAACGAAAATGAAATTTTTTTCAAAATGCTTTATGAATGTACATATTTATATTAACGTTAAAGTTTCGGAATTTTTTTTAAAAAATTCCCATTACATCTATTAATATATCCCTTTAAGATATAAGATTAGATATGATTTGTGAAATTATTAAGTTTAATTACTAAATGTTTGAAATTTCATATTTATTATAAGACACTTTTTGAACAAAATATGTATTATCGTTACGTGCCGCAAAAAAAAAAAAAAATGGAAAAAAAAATGGACATGAAAGATATGAATCTATGTAATATTTTAAGAAAATAAATAAAAGATTATGAATTTTCAAAATAATATTGCTGTTTGTGAGTTATATTGTGGCGTCATTTCTCATTTCTACTGTAACAACAGCACGAGCTTTAGACAGTCTATTATCACAAGAATCACGTGATAAAACCTTTTAAACATCGAAATTATAACGATAACGAAATATAAGTGCATTACAGTTGAAACAATGAGTGATGCAGCTATACCCCTTTACGATGCTCTCAAAACAAACTTACTGTATTAAAGCTTTCAAACTTAAACCGCAAAGATGATTATTCCCGATGCTTCGTCCTAAGATTTATGTTCAAAGCAAAAACTACTATTTCAGAGCCCGCAAAAATGTGAACTGAGATTTTCTCAGTTCTATAGGTTCGAAGTGTGACAAATTCATAAATGAACCTTATTTATTAAGGATTAGTAATCTCTATATACACCAGTATGTTGTAAGTGGGAATGGAATTTCTTATGATTTTAGGGTTAGGGCAGTGTTAGGCGTAGGTCTATATAAAATAAATTCTACCCTAAAATTATAGTTTCATTAAGAAATTCCAAATCCACTTAAATTCCGTTCCCACTTACAACGTATATATAGAAATACTTATCAATTATTCTCTAGAATGTTTTTTCTTGGTACTGTTTATATTAGGAATATATCTTATTTACTACATACTAAACAATAATCTGTATATTGTAAACTAGTACACATCTAAAAATCCACCAATATTTTTTAGAATGAAGGTACTACTAGCAATGTTTTTAAATACGGTGACCAGAAAGATTTCTACGTATAAACAGGATTAAATAACGTTAGTATAACCACTAAGATCAGTTACATAATCAGTATTTGAAATTTTAACTAAAGAAAATGTTTTTTTAGAATATTGTTAACTTGTTCCTCTGGTTAACACTTATTATATATAACACAAAAATGGGCTATTATATGGGGATGTCAGTAGAAACCAAGCAAATTGATTCTAAGTAAATTTTTTAAACTTTAAATTAAGAGTACATTTATTTATCGCCCTATGCGACGCATCTATCCCTTAAACCATCCCAAGTTAGCAGACATATTTAGCTGCTAAAATGTTAAAATTGTTATGTCTGATCTATTTTTTTAAAAATTTATTA